AAGTAGTTTATAATTATTAAAACGTGTTTTTGAATTATCTTAAATTTATTGGGAACTTTAGACTTTTAGAATTTTTAACTTTAAAATTTTTAACTTTAGAATTTTAACTTTAGAATTTTTAACTTTAAATCCACACATTGGCTTCAGCTTTTGCCCTTATTACAAATGGCAGACTATATTTATAAACAAAAAAAAGCGGCTTCATTTTTTGTCCAATAATATCCCACAAGTTAGACATCTAGTTTATATAATATATCATTGTAATGCACATATAGTTCTAAGTACAAGCAAACTATATCACACTTTGTACAAGAAATGATAGACTCATGAAAAATGTTAAAAATAATCACCTCACTGAGAAGCATTATTTAGAACTTTATAGATTTCAAATAAAATATGATTATAGTATATATATTTGATATATAGCAAGTATTTAAGGTAGTCCCTAAATCATTGGGATCTGGGATCTAAATATATTAGTTGATTTAGTCAACAGTAAAATTATTTATAATATACACTAAAATTATTTATAACACTAATTTTACATCAATAACCGCTTGGCACCTTTGCCGCATGCTTTCAACTAGTTCAGGGTTTATGGCACTCAGGAAAAACCTGGAAAACCAGGGAAAAGTTTTTAAATTGTGAAAAATCAGGGAATACCTGGAAAAGTTAGGGAAAATCCTAAAAATCAGGGAAAACTCAGAAAATGGTTTTTAGTTTTATATATAACTTGAAGTTATTTTGTAATATACAAATTTAGAGTTTTTATTTTTATTGAAAGTTGCTCACTACAGTGGTTTTATAACTTTTATAAAATATAGTAACCATATGTTTAATTAAATATAAAAACATAAAATATGACTTCAGAGAAGACCTATTTTCAAAAAGATTGGTTACAACACTATATTTATAAAAATGTTTAGGTAAAAGCATCAATCTACTACAATCCTGTTAGCTATTTCTTTGTTAATGGAAAAGAGTTGCAAGCTGAGTCGCTTAGATGTGAAGAAAAAAATACAACATTTTCCACCAAAAAACAAACGACTATTGATTTCTCAATTAAATCATCTTTATCAACTATTCTGAGATCATTTGAGCACTGAAATCTACATAAAAATTCTACTACTCTAATAATTCATGTTCAAATTTAAACAACTCTTTTAAAAAGATATTTCTTGACAGTAAGGTAGCAGAAGATTTCAGCATGAGTTCCTCAAAAATATCATATGTTGTTAACCATGGACTGGCACCATACTTCAAGACACTCTTACAAGTAGAAATCACAAAATCAGATTGTTACATCGTATCTTTTGATGAGAGTTTAAAGGACATAACTAAAACATGGCAGATGGACCTACTTGTTTGATAATGGGATGTCAATAACAAAGTTAAAGTAAAATATTGGATGTCAGCTTTTCTCAGTCATTCTACAGCTTCTGACCTTCTTACTCATTTGTTTCAAGTTTCCATGAACCCTCTACAAATTGAAATTTCTAGATGATCTAAATAAATACAAAAACTATACGCCACAGCTTGTAAATATTGGTTGCTCCAGTAAAATTGCATGTTACTCATGGTATGTAAAACAGCTATGGAATAAACACTATATGGAATATTTAAGAAATTCTGAAAGGGTGTTAAAAACTCCTCACAACAGCCTGGCTAGGCATCAAGATTATGAAACAGTCACAGACACAACAAAATACCCTCTTTTATTTTGGTGGGTTAAAAAAAAATCTGTTTCAGATTGTGACATTGAAATCTGGCCTAATATATTTAAGTTAGTTGAGTTTTGCGAAAAGTTACCATCTTTAAACCAATCCAAATCAATATGCCTTTTAATTGTCAAAAAAGCTGTTAAAGACAAACTTGTTCAAAATTTGAAGTTTTCAGCTTTGTTGCCAGCATGGTAGAGCCATATTTGTTGGCGTACCAAGCTGACAAGCCAATGATTCCTAAGTCACTATTCATGATTCCATTCATGAACAGTGACTTAGAAAGGCTGTTGTGGGCCATACTGAACTTGTTTGTGAAACACAAAGTTATTGATAATTGGTCTATAGCAGAAGTTGATTTTTATAAAAAAGATTATCTACTTAGGGAAATCAAATCAAACTAAGATTTGCAGCTGAAACAAGAAAAGAAACAAAGAAAGATATAATAAATATTTATGTTTCCAGAAATTAAATTGATAAGCTCGCAAGAATAGGTTATTTTTATAGTCCACTTGGATTGATTACCCTCAAAAAAGTTAACAGAAACAATCTTTATCATTATTGATATGTTATAAAAATAAATCCACAAGACTTCAAGCACTATTGTTTAACAGTGAAGCTGTTTAACTACAAGTTAGTTCATTTTTTTTAAATTGCTGTGCCAAAATTATCTATCCATGACTGAAATGAACCTATGACTTGGGCTAATATCAAATTTAAAGAAAAAACCTAAAAGAAAAAATTACTGATATTCAAAGTTTCCAAAAAGATTGCTTTGTACGACTAATTGAAAAGTTCATGGAGTGACCTCCATTAGGGTCTATCATTGTATGCAATTCTCAGGTTTTTAACCCTAATGGATTGATAGCAATGACTTTAGAAAACACAGAGGATTACAAATCTTTATTGACCCATTTAATTAGCTTTAAATATCTTTCACCAGTCATTTCTGATAAAGCTATAAATCAATTTACAAATTTCTTCAGAGAATCAAGGGTTTATCAAAACAATTTTCATGAATTCAATAGAGAAAGTGTTTAGACTTTTTTTAAAAAAGTAATAGTTTTTTTTAAAAAGTGCAATATAAATAAATATAACAAGTTTATTTTTAAAATATAAATAAATATAACAAGTTTATTTTTAAAATATAAATAAATATAACAAGTTTATTTTTAAAATATAAATAAATATAACTGAAGCTTGTCCATAACTCAATGTAAAAATACTTTTGATACTGAGTTATGGATAAGCTTCAGTTGAGAGAGGTTTTAGTATAAATACCGCAGTACTTGAATTTGAATGAAAAATCAATAACTGTATGACGTTTAATTGAAGATCATATGCTATCAAATAATCTTCAGGCACATAATATTGAAATTACAAACAAAATGATAATCAATGTAAAATCAGCCCATAAAAGATTTAGAATGTACCTAAGTTCAATAACAGACACTAATAAAATCTTAGATCAAATGAGAAAGATACTAAAATAACTTTATATAGAATAGATCTCATACAAAGTTTACATTTAGTTAAAACAATACTTTGTTCAAAATATCTTTTAAAAAAAATCTTTATTTTATGTTTCTAATAGAAGAATAAAAAAAGGAATAAGGTTTCAAAAATTTTGATAAAAATATTAAAACATGGATTCAGTTGTGAAAGTATTATATCCTTCAACTTAACAAGGAAAATTATATACTTTTTACCACCGAAATCCGGGAAAAATTACTTGAAATTGGGTGAAAATCAGGGAAAACTCAGGGAAAATGGATTTATAAAACTGCCATGAACCCTGTAGTTTTGTTAGCAACTAATATTTAGCAAATTCATCAAAACAATTCATCTTCATTACTATTTTTTCTGCATTTGAGTTTAGCATCAAATATAGATCAAAGACTCACAATAGAATTAAGATCAGGTGATAGTGCCTGCCACACTCAGATAGGTATTTCAGTGTTTTGTATATATCTTTTATTTTTTTTGTTTTATGGTTTTTGTCATTATTTCGCTGACATGTATAATTTCCATCTGGAAATAGATGTGTTATACTTGGAAATAGATGTGTTATATTTGGAAATGGATGTGTTATACTTGGAAATAGGTGTGTTATACTTGGAAATAGATTTTTTAATCTTGGAAATAGATGTGTTATATTTAAAAATAGATGTGTTTTAAACTTGGTTTTAATTGGTTAACTAAAACATAATAGTATTTATGATGGTCCACGGTTACGTCAACTCTGTACATGATTTTTTTTGTCATATTTTACAGTGGGATTTGTACACTAAAAATTATATGGTTCATTTTTTTTTTCCATTTTGTTTCTCAATTACCATAGTGTAGCAAAAAAGCTGTTTCACTTGTTCATATCTTATGTCATATGAGATGTTTCCATTGTTCATATCTTATGTCATATGAGACGTTTCCATTGATCAAAAGTTTAAGTGATCTTTGCACCATTTTAGTCTCTTACCACAATTTTTCTTATTTAAAAAAACATTTTTTGTTTTCCAACCTGAAGTAAACTCTTTACCTACCTTGCAACTATTGCATTGTACATAAGTTCTCTTTGTTCCATATCTCGACTTCCTGCCAATCAAGTTTTGTAACGATAATCTATGCAAAATTGTAGATCCATGTCCAACTTTGGAAAAATTACGCAAAGATCAATCTGCATTAAGCATTTGAATTATTCTACCTTTATCAGTCTAAAGCATGTTTTTTCTATTAGTAAATATGAGTTTTAACTGATAACTTTCAACTAATAAGTTTCTAACTGATAACTTTTAACTGATAAGTTTTTAACTGATAACTTTTAACTGATAAGCAAATTAAAACTTAAGTGCTAAACTAGTATAAGTAATCAATAGTTGAATTTTGGTTGTAGCAGAATCAAAAACATCCAACTCTATCATTTTTTCCCATTAAAGTGTATTTTTTTATAAGTATATGTAAAATTACTAAAAAATTTAATTTTTTTTTATGATTTACAAAAGTATGAGAGGTTAAAAACAACTTTAGATTAAAGTAAAACAATATAAAATCACATGTAGCACTTTTCAAAGAAAATCACATATAGCATTTTTCAAAGAAAATCACATGTAGCTCTTTTCAAAGAAAATCACATGTAGCACTTTTCAAAGAAAACTGTATTGTGAATAATGCATAATTTTAAAGAAATTTTTTTTTGACATGTAAATTTAAGGGCTCCTTTATTTTCAATTTTTTAAATTTATTTTATTTAATAAAATAGAGTAAATATATGTTTTTTTTTTCCAGCTAAAACAAAAAGAAAACGAGCAAAAGCATACACTATTGGTTACTTGTGTTACCCCAATAACTCCACATGACAGCGAATCAAGTGATTTCAGTTTTATCAATCCTAATGATACAAATGTTTGCATGAGTTTGGTGAAGCGGGTAATTACTTAAATATTTTCTAAAATAATTATAATCAGGGATGCGGAGTCCCAAAAAGGACTCCGGATTTGCAAGTTATAAAAAGACTACTTCGTTCAAGTTTTTGGTATCCAGGAGCTTTAAAAATATAAAAAAGCTTATGGGCTACTAATGGGGAAAAAAATCAAGACTTATAGGTCAGAAGTACAATCAATTTTTGAACCCAGAGTCCTTAAGTATAATGGTGGCAAGAACTCCTGGACTCCGGCAAGACTCCGGGCTTAAAAACAATTAGTTCCAAGTCATTAAATATCTTAATTTTTTTTCTTATAGCAGATCATTAATTAACCAACGTGTTTAAAGCTTCTGGACACATTTTATCTCTTAGCAACCTAAATTTTTTTCCTATGCTTTTATATTTTTTAATTACTCAGTAATTAATGGATATTTATTTTTTAACTTTACAAATTTGGGTAATTTTAGGGGAAAATGATATCTTTTTTTTTTTTGGAATCTGTAATTTCCCAATTACACAGGCCAACAAAAATTATATATTTTCAAAACTCTTTTTTATAAAACACAGGTCAACATGAAATTTATTGCATTAATGTTGACACATTCTCTTACTTTTGATTCTCTAAATTCAAATCTGACATTAGATTTTTGATTTGCTGAATTGAAAACTGACATCAGATTTTTGATTCACTTAATTCAAATCTGACATCAGATTTTTGATTCACTGAATTCAAATCTGACATCAGATTTTTGATTTGTTGAATTCGAATCTGTTATCAGATTTTTGTGGCAACTGCAGATTTTTTGCAATAAACAATTTATATTTTTCAAAATATTATTGACTAAATTTTCAGGCTATTTCACAGTGGGTCAGGCTGTGACTAAAGTCAAAAATGTCATGTTCTTGAAAAAGTATATATTTTTTTAGATATGCATATATCATGACCTTTTTAAAAGGATATTATATTTTCTATAACTCAAAAACTGTTTTTACAGTTACAAAATAAAGAAGCGTCTTTTTCAGATATTCAAAAAAACTTAAAAATTCAATTAAAAAAATGTTCAACTTTCTTCATAAATTTAAAATTAATTTTATTCCTGGCGCTTTTTTTAGTAAATTTTGAAATATTTTTTTAAATATAATAAGCTATAATATATATATATATATATATATATATATATATATATATATATATATATATATATATATATATATATATATATATATATATATATATATATATATATATATATATATATATATATTACAAATATCTTGCAATAATAACAAAATATTAAGTTTTTTTTCTTTTTCTATTATTTAAAATGTTGTGTAAAAAATCTTTATTACAAGTATCATAGAGGTATATATAAAGGTATTTATTTTGGAACACAAGCGAACACATCTATGAGAGTATACAATAAATGATTAACATGTTTACTATGAGGCAAAATTAGTTTTGGCTACTTCTTGTAACTTTGAGCACTGTCAAGCTCTAAAGCTGAATACATTTTTACAACCCCCTCACTTTAAGGGGGTTTTAATATTAGATATTGATATAACTTAAAAATGCTGAAAAATTTGTTGATGAATTCTGTTAATTTTGACGAAATGAGGATGATAAAAAATAGTTATTCTTAAATTTAAATTACTTTCTGTAATAGCCTCTCTAATAACCTTATCTTGCATTGTATAGAAATAACTAACTTTAGGGTTGTCACTTATGTTAGGATTACTGTTATTAAATTATAACTTATTTTCATTTGCGTTGTATTGTTTACATTATTTTAGCTGTATAATGAAATATTTGGAAATTCACAAATGTATTAGGAATAATCAGTTCTCAATGCATGAAGAGTCTTCTGTAATATGTTGTCAAATAATGTCTGATTTAATGACTTCATTAAACAAGAAAAAGTCCAGAAGATAAAGAAAAAATTGAACTTTTTTAAAAAAATTTCAAAACATTTGATTATAAAGCAGAGGAATTGCTGTAAAATTTGAGCATAAGTATAGTAAATGGATTGACAAAGAAGAAATTGATTTTTGAAGACTAACTAAAGATATTCTTTCCGATTCAGAAAGTCTTGCTTTTTATCTTTTATTTTACCTTCTGTCTTTTATTTTACCTTCTGTCTTTTATTTTACCATTTATCTTTTTAACTTTAATAACTTTAACTTAACTTTAACAAGAACTTTGTTCTTTAAGGAACAAAGTATAGAAAAAGTAGTAGTTGATTTACTATGTGTGATCATTGTAATAGTTAAGTTGATTAACTGCTTTTTTATATGGGTGATAGTGGTAGTGGCATCGGCCACAAATAGTATCTGTACATCACTAATATATATATATATATATATATATATATATATATATATATATATATATATATATATATATATATATATATATATATATATATATATATATATATATATGTGTATATATATATATATATATATATATATATATATATATATATATATATATATATATATATATATATATATATATATATATATATATATATATATATATATATATATATATATATATATATATATATATATATATATATATGGAAGGGTCAGCAATATGCGTAGTCTATCCACAAATTAGTAAAAAGGTCTTTTCTGTCAGCGTTTTTGATTATATTGAGTGCTTCTAATGGTGATAGTGTTTTGTTGGTTTTCTGCTTCTGCTCACGCCATTTGTTAAAAACAGTAGTAATCAAACTGAGATGTAGAAGTTCATTGTACAGTTCTTCCCCGTTTATATCAGAAATGTTTTTCACAACCAGGTTTTTTTTTTTACGTTTTATAATTCTCTTTAAGTTTGTCCTTTAGTGGTAGTTTTTCAGTTCAAGTAGGAATCACAACTTTGACTCGTATTTGGAGAGATTCTTTGAGAATCTATACAATATTTTCAAAAATGAACTCCAAACAGCAATATAAACCACTATAGAATATAGATTCACCAATGAATCAGCTCAGTCAAATAAAACTACATTCAAGCTGTGGCAACCACAGGTTGTAAAAGAGGCTTGTGTGTTAAATGATGTATTCTGTTAAAATTTGAGCTTGAACACCTTTTCAAATTGCAATCATATTGTTTAGGTCAAGCCTACTGGACTTTATTTCTTCAATTAAAAGGTTAACATGATTTTCACCAGTTGACTCTTCACACACTGCATATTCAATAAAGCTTTCTTGGATAATGACTATTGCAATGCTAAGAGGTTATTGACTTCATTTTGAATATTAGTTAGAATTTGAATTAACTTAGCGTTTGTGAAGGTCTTTCTCCATCTTCAATTCAATTAAGGCTTGCTCTGTGAACTTTTTACAGTTGTTGAAACCTTCTTTTTTCCCAAAATATTGGAGTTTATCAAACATATGACAAGATAAACAGTTAGTTGAATTAGTTTCTTGAGAGTAATTAAGCCATCTCGACTTCACTTATTCACTATATCTTGCTACATTGTATTAAAATTCATTTGAGAAATGGTTTTTTTGGTTTTAGTATATTCTTTATTGCTGTTCAGAAATGGTATTGGATTCATTTTGATGATACAGTCTCTCTCTCTCTTACAGTCAGCCATTTTGACTAAGTGAACAAGTCATTAGATAAGTATTTGCAAGTCAACACTTCTGTGTGAAACATCATTTGTAATTGTTATCATCTGTTTCAACTATTATAGGATTAAATTACATTCTGACTCTGCTCTCAGGCAGAGAGTTTTTTTGAAACTTCCTGAGATTTTTGGCTACAAATGTCCAAGGATAAAGTTGATGAACATGTGGCAAAACTAGCTGAAGAACTACACAACAGACAGTTACTGTTGTTATCTTCCTCATAGTTAGATTGAGACTAAGATTGAGAGTGAAGGTCTCACTAGATGTTTTTAGGGAGATGGAGAAAAGAATGTGATTATTTTGACAATTTACTTAAAACAGCTTCAATAGGCTGCTTCAAAATGCTTGGCAAATTTTCTTTTTAAGCAGCTGACAGTTTCTTTAACATCTTTAATAAAATGAAAAATAAATTCAAATTATTAGTGTAAAACTTTATTTTTGTTTCTGGAAACATTAATTCTCCAAGTTTTTAACTCATCTTAAAGGTCACTACTGATTACAGTTTGCAACCCTTTTTGTTACAACATTTTTATCAACTTACTTTCTTGTCAGATTATTTACTTTATTGTACGTGCAAAACAAACACGAGTTAAGTATTAATAATTGAAATTATTAAAAAAAGTTATTAAAACAAACAGCGCAAAAAAAAAATATTACTCTAGTGTAAATAAAAGAAATTGGTTTGAAAAAAAGTTTCTCAAAACAAACTTTAGTGGAAATAAAAGAAATCATTAAAAATATATATAAAAAACTTTTTAAAAAGCAATATTTTTGAAATGGACTAAATAGTAAAAAATAAACTTTTTCTCTGTACCTAAGGACTAAGAAATGTTGGGCGCTCTATATTTTAATTGTTAAAGATATTTTATGAACTTATGTAGACCGCCTAAAAAGTTTTATTGCAGCGCCCCCAATGCTGCGGCGACTAGGGCAATTTGCATTGATTATCCCCCTAGGTACGACCCTGTATATATATATACACAACAATACAATTGCATATATGGCTATATACCACATAATTATGGTGTAAAAAATTAAGTAACCATAGTAACAATTTATAAAAAATCTTTTTTATAAGAGGCAAAGACCTAATAAAAGTCCTAACAAAGATATTAATACACATGTCAAATGTAGTGTTCATAGCACAAATAAAAATCTTTAACTACCAGAAACAGATTGTTGCAATCTAAAATTAGGTATTCATAGCAACTAAATATAAAAAATATCAATTTTTAAAAAAGCCTGAACCTAATATACTCATGTCAAATTCGGTAAATGTAACACATGAAAAATTGATGACTTCCAAAAATAGGTTGTTGCTATGCAAAATTTAGTATTTATAGCAAATTAATATAAAAATTATTACTTTTATAAGAAGCACAGACCTCATTATGGTACTCTTACAAAATTTGGTGAATACATTACTAATATTAAATTAATTATTAATTTTGTCTCAAAATTGACTATTTTGGCCCACTGCGTATTCCTCTAAAGCAGATTTGAATTCATTATTAAATGCTAGCTTATAATTTATATGCTAGGGTATAATTAACTCTAATCTAATTTAACAAGCACTGAAACAAGGATGCTAAATCGATAATGATAATGATGATGAACTAAATTAAAACCTAGTATATGAGGTATAAATATTTAAAATTATTTAAAATTATTTAAAATTATTTAAAAAAATAATAATATCATTAATCTTTTTTATACCATTAAACTTTTTGCTGATTTATAAAAAACTATTTTTGTTATAATTCTTAAAATTTAAGTTTTGAATCATATTGCAGACAATGTTGTTTAATAAAGAATATTTATTCAAGAAGAAACTTTAGCTTTTATAACAAAATAAAAGGTGCGTATAACATAAATAAAATAAAATTTTAGTTAACAGAAAGAGGTAACATTTGGTTAATGGTCAGTTATATCTAACATATTTTGTAAAAAGTGGAATGTTTTAGTATTTCTTTCAAATGTCACTAGCTACAATTTGTTCCACAAAATAGTTTCTGGATAATCAAGCAATGTTGTAGAATTCAGAAAACGTTTTTTAAAAATTTTTTATCTTCTACTATTTTGGTTATGATATTGTCAGCTTTCCTTAGCAATCTGAAAATCTTTCACAACTAATGTTAAAGCTTTTAGGCATAACAATACCTGTCAAGTGTAATAAATCTAAGGATGTTTTGTCAAAAATATTTTTTGTTGCAATTATTATTCCCCATTTTTTTTTTTTTTTTTAGATATTAACTCTTATTTGTTTTATATTACATTATAAAATATAATTTTGGAAAAAAAAAATTTTTTGTTTTCATTAATAAATGTAATTACAAACTTAAATTGTTAAAATATTATTATAATAAAGATTTAAAGATTTAAATTTAAAGGCTTGGTTGGATTCGCTAAGAAATATTTAAACATGTCTTTTCATTCTGAAGGAAGGTTTGATGTACGGGCAAGTCAAATTTATATCTTGTGAAGTCTGAAAAAGTATGTAGAAAGAATGTTGAAGCATTCACATTCGTTCATATTCCAATTGGGGAACAGTAATTCAATAGAGGCTATGCTATGGTGCTGGGGTTGATGATTTGAACAAAAATTAAAAGCTGAAGTTGAAATTGAAAAACATTTATTGATGGAAATCATAGACTCAAAGTTTTATGTCAACATTCTCAATATAAATCTTCAGGTTTTATCTGAAGAACTGGAATTTGGAAAAATTTTATCTTTCAACAAGACAACAATCCTAAGCATACATCAAAGAAAGAAAGAGTTTTTCATCCAGAAGATAATTGATTTGTTTGAATATACAACTCAATTGAACACCTGTAGACTGTTCTGAATCAGGAAACTGGTAAACAGCTTTTTTCCCACAGTGATGTCAATCCTTTTAGTTTTGGTTTTGGTTCCTGGGTCAAATTTTCTTGAACATTTATTCTGCTACTCTTTTTTGTCCAAATCTAAATCTTGCTAGTATAATTTATATATATATATATATATATATATATATATATATATATATATATATATATATATATATATATATATATATATATATATATATATATATATATTTATATATATGTATATATTTATATATATATATATATATATATATTTATATATATATATATATATATATATATATATATATATATATATATATATATATACACATACACATATATATATTTTAACTTTTATTTAAAAAAGAATATATTGACATGCATTGCATAAATATACTTAAATATAAAAAAAAACAAAGTTACTTATAAGGAATTATAAAAAATTCATATAAGATAAAAGAACATATATGAGATACATTAATAAAACACATATGGGATACAATATCAGAACACATATGAAATACATTTATAGAACACATATGGGATACATTAAAAGAACACGTATGAAAAAATTTTGTTACTGTTTAAAAATGTTTTAGAAAAAAAAAAAAAAACATAAATAAAATAGGTTTTAATAAATTATGATTACCACAACATAAATGCGCTAATTTTAATTTTGTAAAACAAAATATTTTCGAAAAATTTTGTACTTAGTGACGCAGTGTAAAAATATTTATAAATGGCACAAACAATAAAAATAACAAAACTTAAAAATAACAATAAAAAAATGTGTTATTGTCATTATTTTAATTTTATGTTAAAATTTTTGTTTGTTAAAATGATCTATATATATATATATATATATATATATATATATATATATATATATATATATATATATATATATATATATATATATATATATATGTAAAAAAGAAATATTTACATATAAAAAAAAAAAAAAAAAAATTACATATAGAAAAGTTTTTTCAATCTAAAAGATACAACATAAAACTTATAAAAACAGTTAATTATAGTTAATTATTTGAATAACATGGCATGAAACAGTAAATTATAGTTATTTATTTGTATGACATGGCATGAAACAGTAAATTATAATTATTTATTTGAATGACATGGTATTAAACAGTAACATCCATTATAGTTAATTATTTTACACTGATTCCCAGATTTCTAGAAAACTAGTGATAATATTAATAAAATAAATTATTAAAATCTTTTTTTATATGTTTGGATTTGTATTTCTGTAAACTTTAGGCACGGTTAGAATATGTGGAGAAAGAGAATGAACTTTATGATAATCCAAATGACACAGGAAATATTTATTCATATTATCATCCATCTAAAACTAAACACTTGGTATTATTTTTATCTAAATAAATATCGGGTGGACACGGAAAAATCCGGTCAACTTTAAATAGAGATTTCTCTAAAACCATAAATGCTTTTTATTTCAATTTTTTTATTATTAAATGTGTTTACATAAGTTAGAGTTTCAACTTAATTTTTAGGGGCTTGATGGGTTGCTTGGCAAGAAATCGAACTTTATAGCGGGTTGATGCTATCATTTTACAGATTTTTTCTTTTTTCACCATATTGGCAGCATTAATCCACTTTTTTTGGAAGTCCTTTTTATTATTTGTTAGTCCACCTGTCTTACGAAGAACTCCTTTAACTATTGCCCAAAAATCTTCAATCTTGCGCTTTTCAGGACGATTTGGAGGATTCGCATCTTTAGGAACAATTTTCACATTATCTTTGCACCACTATAAAACTTTTTTAGAATAGTGAGAGGCAGCAAGATCAGGCCAAAAGAGACATTTGTATTTGTGTTTTTTTTATAAAAGGCAAAAATCTTTTTTGGAGGCATTCTTTGATATAGAGATTGGCAGTCAAGGTCTTTTTAGTGACAAAACAAGAGGACTGCATACCACAGCTATAAATTGCTTGCCACACAAGGAACTTGAATGCAAATTTTTCTCGTCGAATATATTTAAATTGATCATTGACAGGTTTATCTTTGTTTTCATAGTAAAACTGTTGACCAGAAAGTTGTGAAAAATCCGCCTTGCAATACGTTTCGTCGTCTTCAATTATGCACATATTTTTATCTGCCATTATTTTAACCAACTTCTTTGCGTGTCGTATTCCTTTAATTTCACAATTTAAGCTTCTCTTAGGTGTATTTTTTTTATGAAATGCTTTAATTCCAGCATTTTTTAATTACTTTTTTGATATAAGTCTTAAATTTTCTTGCTAGATCTCGCTGTGACTGATTTCAATTTTTTGCTATTGAACGTAAAATTGACTTTACCTTTTTGGATTTATGGAAAGTTTTTTTTTTTCCACTTCCAAGTTTTCTTTCGAAACTTTGAGTAGTCTTGAACTTGTTTATAATATCTGACATTTGTGCGTTTAGCAATCAAGGGATAGGAAGTCGATGGATTTTTGCAAAAAAAATTCACAACTTTTTTACGCACCTCAACTTGTTTCCAAAACATTTTGCAAATCATTAATTTGTAAACAAAAATTTATCAACACCATTTAAGATAAGGAAGTAAGGTTTAATTAAAAAAAAAATTAAATAAAAAGCATTTGTGGTTTTGGAGAAATCTCAATTTAAAGATGACCGGATTTTTTCGTGTCCACCCAATAGATTTATGAAATAAAGTGCTTGAATGTTATTTTTTCTTTTCTTACAGCCTTCTGTTCTTTTCTTACAGCCTTCTGTTCCATTTCAAATCAAAAATGTTTCCAAAAGTGAAGAATTTTTAGTTACATCAAGTGACAAAGCGATAGAAATAAGCGATGTTAATAATAAAACGTCTTTACAAGAGGCACATCCTTTACAAGAGGTGAGCTGTTTACAAGAGGTACACTCTTTACAAAAGGTGAGCTATTTACAAGAAATGTTTGTATTATAATGCTTAAAATTTAAATTATAATGGTTTAAATTTGTTTGCTTGAAATTTAGGGTTGGCAAAAACCTGTTTTTTTTTTTAAAAAAAACCCAGCCCAGTGGTTTTTTGGGTAATTTTGTGTTATATTGGGTAAATTTTTTTGTTTTTTTTTTTTGATTATTGATATTGAAAGTTAGTAGAATTTTCTTCTCTAACTTTATTTAAATAATATTTTATATAATGTTATTTAATAATTTAAAACAAAAATTTTTCAAATTATATTGGAAAAGATTTTTAAACATAATTTAAAACTGTAATAGAAAAAAAATCTTTCAAGTTAAATCTATATGTAATGATTTTTTTTTAATTTAAAAGTTATATTTTTTATAATTGAAAATGTCAATGAGAATTGGGAAAAAGAAGGCCAGAGAATGGGAGGAAATAACTGAAGTTTCAATTGAATTTCAAATTTGAAATTAAAATTCAAATGAACAAACTTGTTTCACTGCACAGCAGCCTTATTTATAAAGGTTCATGTTTTGGAGTTGAGGATTTGAGAGAGGGTTGTAATCACGATAAGGTAGCCTCCTCGACTGTAATGGCCTTCTCAGCCTTGTGAGGTGAATAACATAAAAGGTAAAATAGTGACATCTCAATCTGTAAAAATATTTGAATAAAAATTTTGATAATGTATTTTCAAATAATGATTCAAATATTAATAAACCTAATAGCTGTTATGGTTGACTATAATATTTATTTAAAAACTTTGGCATATAAAATTCGCCGAATGGTCACACACGAGCAGTGAACACCCGAGGGAAGAAATGAAGTACATTAGAATAAAGAAGAATTATTTATCGAACGAAGCATATTTTGACAGTTGTCAAGACAAAAATAAAGATTAATAGAGGAAAATTTCAAAACAAGTAAGACAGACAACACATCCAAGCAGTACTCACAATAACAATAACAAAAAATTGTATCATATAAAAAACTAGTACGTACGAAGATATACAACAAATATAACCAAAATAAAAATTTTTTTAAGCAAAAAATTAATAAACAAAAAACTTAAAAATAAAAAAAAAAAAAAAAAAAAAAAAAAAAAAACTTACAAATAAAAAAAATAACTACAATGTACAACTACAATGTACAATAAATACAAATAAAAAAAAAAAAAAAAAAAAAAAAACTTAAAAATAAAAAAAAAAAAAAAAAAAAAAAAAAAAAATTTAAAAAACAAACAAAAAATATGGATAGCAATGTAAGGCCTTAGAATGGAAAAAGAACATTAATGCTAATGTGTAAACATAATTATGTAGTGATAAAGTAATAAACATCTCCTCAGAGTCGCGTCTATTATTACAGGCGTTTCGATGAGGATCAGCACTTATAACTAGTTTATCCCGTCAGACAAACGTCATCGCCACTTGTGCTTTAACCCGCGACTCCGAACTAAAAAAATTAATAAACCTAATAGCTGTTATTGTTGACTATAATAGTTAATAATAATAGTATTTAATTTAGCTGATAATATAAAAGTTATAATAGTAATGTTGGTTATAATAGTTCATGAAATTATAAAATATCTTTAAAAAAAAACCTAATAAAACCCAGATTGCCCAATTTTTATTAGGTTTTTTTAGGCGGGTTTTATTGAGCGGGTTTTTTTAATGCCAACTCTGTTCAAATTAGAGACATTAAGTTATAGACATTAGGTACATATATCTGTATGTTTTATAAAGTTTATAAAATCTAGCCTAGCTGTAATAAGACAAAAACTACTTTTAAAATAACTTGAAGTTTTAAAACATTATATACAAGGTTTTTTCTTTTTTAGTTATAATTTGAGGTCAATATAATAACTTTAATTATAACTTGCTTAAAAAAAACATTAAAAGATAACGAAAAGTGAAATTGAATAATATCTTTAATTTTTAATTAAATATTTTTGTTAAAGTAATTTTTTTAAATTAAACAATAAGTCTAGATTATATAAAGCAGTTTGTTAGAGAAAATATAATTAGCAAGAAAATAATTTCAAATTATTTGGTATTTATGTTAGTATTGTTAATATTGTTATTTTAAATTTAGAGATGAAATATATAAAAACATAATTTAAATTTTTTGCTATTGCTTATCATCTTTATTTTAAATTTAGAGATGAAATATATAAAAACATAATTTAAATTTTTTAGAGATGAAATATATAAAAACATAATTTACATTTTGTGCTCTTGTTGATCATCTTTACTTTTTGTTCAACTTTTTTTATTAATATACAAAATCTTCATTTTTATCAGTTATGTTTTGATTATGTTAAATATATTTTGTATGAAAATATTTATAACTTGTTATTTACAATAAATTATTAAATATAAATGTAGATTACTAACATATTAACTAAAGTTAATTGAAATTTTAAATCACCGTGATCATGCATAATCAGCGCTTTGAAGAATTACAGTGCTGTGCTGCAACAGGCAAACAAAAATTATGCTTTGAGGCCTGGTTCAAAGTTGCGTTTTTAAAAATATTTAATATATGAAAGTATTCGAAAGTTTCCTTTTTTTTTTTTTTTTTTGAGGATAATTCTTATAAGCAAGGATGTATATATAAGAATTTTTTTTTCATAGACTTTTATACAGTGTTATTAGTAACATTAAACTCAGTTTATTTAATAATATAATTGAAGTATTAATATAATTAAGTATTAAATATTAATGAAGTAGAATTTAAAAAGAATTTTAAAATTTTTTTTTTAGTTTATACATTAAATTTTGTATAATTTTTTTTTTTCATAGATTTTTATACAGTGTTATTTAAATTTTTATTTATCAATTTAGTAACATTGAACTCAGTTTATTTAATATTATAAATAGTATTAATGAAGTAGAATTTAAAAAGAATTTTAAAAGTATATTTAAATAATCCAAGTCTTTAAGACACCAAAGACTAAAAAAAAAGGAAGAAACATAAACTTGTTTGTGAATTAAAAAGAATTTATTTGGTAAGCACAAACATTTCAAACACAAACTATTTTTTTATAACATTTAGACTTTGAATATTTTATTTTATAATTTTTTTTAAATTAGAATTATTAGAGTTAAAACAGAAAGACTTGGAAACATGACTGCAAAGAAATAACTGAAATGTTTTATTATCTTGATAAACAATTAGTTTTGCTTCGTTGAAATAACTAAACTTTTTTTTTCTAACTTTGTTTTTTGCAAAAAGAAAAAAAAAATGTTTTTTTTTATTTATTGATGATATCTTGTATAAGATTCGATTAATTTAATATATAAATATTAGTGATGTACCGATTAATCGGCATCGGCATCTGCATTATTTTCACAATCGGAATCGGCATCAGCCACTTTTATCGATTTTCCAACCAATGGCATTTTAATATTTTTATCCTGCATTATTATAACAATTAAATAACAAATAAACTAAACTTTATGCATTACTTAGAATTTTTTGGATAAATTTTTATTTTGACTTTGTTTACAAGCAAAAGCTTGAAAAGTAACCAATTTAGGCATTGTTATCTATATTTTTTTAATTTTTTTTTACTCCCAACAATGCTGCAAGCAACCACTATCAAGTTGGGAGTTGCTAGAAAAAAGGATTCGCAAGTAAATGGTTGACAGAAAACTTAAAAAGTTGAAGGTTGAACGAGTCAGGAAAACATGAAGATGGGACAGAGTTCCTAAGGGTTGAAGTGCTGGGAAATAAGCTAGACAAATAAATGTTTTTGGAGCATAAGGAGACAGATACAGTAAAAGAATGAGATGTTGATAAATGTCAAGCAAGAATGCGTTTTGGTTGATGGAACTAGAGATAAAAGCTCCTTTGAGCAGCAACCATTATTGTATTTATAAAAAAGAGAAAGAGATGCAACTTTACAACAATGGCTAAGAGGCTCAAGCTTAGCAGATAGACTTTGTTCAACTCTGTTTACAATGCGTTTTTGGACCTTATTTTGAAGAGAAAGAGCATCATTAGAAGAACCAGCCCAAATATGACAATAGTATTTCATACAGGGAATAAGAAATTTGTAGAGGTAGAAAATGAAATTAGGAAAGAGAAAATGATGAGCACGATAAAGAGAAGCAAGCTTAGCATATGCTAATTTAGCAATCCATTGTATATATGGTTTCCATGAATGGTCAGTAGTAAATGATAATCCAAGAAGACATAAAGAAGAGGAATCAGTGAGAGGGTTGCCATTCATTAAAATTGGAGTCTCAACAGTACTGCAATAGTTATTTGAGGTAAATAACTGAGTTTTGTTGGAATTTAAATTTACAAGCCACTTTAAGCCCCAATCAGTTACAGAAGTGAGATCAGATACAAGATAGGCTGTCTGTTCTAGGTGAAAAAGAGAAGAATTTTTGTCAAGACATTAGTATTAAGTTGAGTCATCAGAAAAAAGAGCTACTTTAGATGTGAGGTTGTCAGGAAGATCATTAATAATAAGATAAGTAATAAAACAGGACGAAGGATAAAACCTTGAGGTACCCCAGAAGTTACTGGAAATAAAGAAGAGTGTTGACCTTCAAGGATGACTTTATTAAGGCGGCTAGAAAAAAAATTTGGAGGGGTCAGTATGTTTACCAGAATTTTTAAAAAATAGAACAACAGATGCCATTTTCCAGCAGAAAGGAAAACAAGAATCAGTCAAGTTCTTAATAAATAGTTTGGAGAAAATTTAGTCCTGAAAAACAATTTTGTAAGACTGTGACAAGAATTTTATCTGAACCATAAGTTGTAGAAGACTTTAATCGAGATATGACTATGAGCAATGGAAGCTGGAGTAGTTTGAATGTCTAACAACGGGTTAACCTGTTTAATTAGAATGGAAGGAAGAGAAAGGCCATAAGATTTGAGAGTCAAATTGGAAGATAATTTCTTTGCAAATAGTTCAGCCTTATTTCATGTATTTTTAAATACATAAAATAAGGTTTGATACTTGGCTATGCTTAAAAGCATAGCCAAGTACCAAGTATATTTCAATATTTTTTATTTTTTTCTTTCAATTCACCTCCCTGAGGCTGCGAAGGCCACTTTAATATAGGAGGCTTCTTTATTAAATTTTTTACAAAACTGACCTCACTGCGTGATGTCAGTTTTTGTGATAATATTTGAATCCATGGTAATGATATAGTTGGATCCATGGTAATGATATAGTTGGCATGGTTGTATTATTGTTAGATGAGACTATTTCATTTATTGAGTGTTGTTTTTTTATAATAATATTTGCAAGGTTTTGTAATTTTTTCTTTTCAAATTTATTCTCAGCAAAATAATTTCTATGGAAGTTGATTTCTTTATTTGCAAATTTTTTAGAGCAAGTTGATAAGACTCTACAGATAAATCCCATAAATGTCTTCTAAGATTTTTGAATTTCAATTGTGCTCAACCTAAATATACTTTGATTCGAATTGTGCTGAGCTTAAAGATTTGAATATTAACATTATAAGATACTTACTAGAATTGAATAAAAAGGAATAAGAAGTATAAAAAATGTTGATTTAAAGAAAATGATAGTCTATACCTAAACAAACTAATACCACCATGTATGTACAAGCCCACAAACCATAAAAATGAAATCCTATGCGATTAATAGTTTAAACAATCAGGACATCCAGTTATTGTATTGTAAAGTTAATGATATTTACATATATATGTGTGTATATGTGTGTGTATATATATGTATATATATATATATATATATATATATATATATATATTTTTTTTTTTTTTTTAACATCTTCACTTCCAACAAGGCTGCAAGCAACCACTATAAGAGTTGGAAGTTACTGGAAGAGAAAAGACTAAATCTGTAGAGCAAGATAACGATTGAATTCAATATATTATGCAATTACTTTTTTCTAAATGACATTGACAATGACAAACAATATATATATATATATATATATATATATATATATATATATATATATATATATATATATATATATATATATATATATATATATATATATATATATATATATATATATATATAATGTGTGTCTATTTTCAGAATCTACTAAGTGTATTATAAAAAATCTTTTTCCAGTTATGTGAGGTTAACATTATAAATTGCTTCTAAGTTTAGTTAATAGTTTAAGTTTAAATTACAATACTTTTGACTTAATATGACTTTTATTTAAGAATTCTGGCATCTCATGCTCCATGGACAGTTTAATTGACTTTAAAATTCATTGCCAGACAGGAGAACCTCTTAATAAAGTTGATCTATGTACACAAGTTGTTCAACCTAATACAAATATAAGTATATCAAATGAACTTACAGACAAAATTGAACTTGATAAATCCAACATTATTACTGTTAAAAATGTAAGCAATGAGCTTAAAAAAAAAAATCTTTCTCCTACTTTACAAGACACAAATTCTGAAACACCTAAACATGCATTATCTTGTAATGCAGCAAAAATATCTAATACCTATGCTCTTCGAAGTAAAAGAAAAAACCTTTTGCCTCTTGAAAACAACTTAACTAATAAATATGGTAAAAAAAAGAAACTTGATAAAGTTCAACATCCTAAAAAAATGAAGGAAAATATTTTTTCTGAGAATTCAGCTGGTCTTATGGAAAACATTTTAGAAATTGACTCTTGTGAAGAAATAAAAAAAAATGTGAAAGATTTTTTGCTTCTTAACAAAAGTTCTTTTAATCCAGTTGCAGAAAGTCAGAATAACGTCAAACAAACTAACAAATTAGACACTTTTAACTCTATTAAATCTAAACAAGATCTTTATATAGAGTGTAATAAAATTCCAATACCAACTAAAGTTACAGCAAAAATATTGCCTTGTAGCATGACAAATAATACTAATGTTAATATTGTTGATAAAAAGATAAATTTAAACTCTATATCCAGTACTTATGCACTTCGAAGTAGAAGAAAAAACCTTTTGCCTTTTGAAAACAACTTAACTGAAAAAAATGACAATGGCAAAAAAAAGAAACAAGCTAATAAAAAAATATATTTACATAAAAAAATTTCTGTTACATCAAGTGACAAAGTAATAGAAATAAGCGATATTAATAATAAAACGTCTTTACAAGAGATTTTTTACATGAGGTGAGCTGTTTACAAGAGCTACACTCTTTACAAAAGCTATTTACAAGAAATAAGTTGTTTGCTATATTATAATGCTTAAAATTCAAGGTTTTGGAAAAGCCCAGTGGATTTTTTCTGGGTAGTTTTGGGTTTTATTGGGTTAATTTGGGTTTTTTTTGGGTTTTATTTTTATTTCGCATCTGTAATTTTTATTTATTTTTATTTATTTAATGATTTAAGTATAATTTTCTACTTTAAATTTATTTAAAATATATTTTATATAATTTTATTTAATAATTTCTAACAAGAATTTTTCACATTATTTTGGAAAAGATTTTTAAACATAATTTAAAACTATAATAGAAAGATTAAAAATTTGATGTATTGATTTTTTTTTATATTTAAAAATAAAATTTTTTATAATTAAAAATGTCAATAAGAAATAAGGAAAAGAAGGCTGGAGAATGGGAGGAAGTATTTGATGTTTTAAAAATGAACAAACTTGTTTTTCCACGCGGCAGCCTTGTTTATAAAGGTTCATGTTTCAGAGTTAAAGAGTTAAGAGCAGGTTGTAACCAAATTAAAGGTAGTCTTCTCAACTGTAGTGACCTTTTCAGTCTTGGGAGGTGAATAACATAAAAGATTAAAAAATGAAATCTCAACCTTTAAAAATATTTGAAAAAAATTGTAATAATGTATTTCCAAATAATTATTCAAATATTAGTAAACCTGCTCTGATAGCTGTTATTGTTGGTTATAATAGTTAATAAAATTATAAAATATCTTTACAAAATCCCAATAAAACCCAGATTGCCCGAGTTTTATTAGGTTTTTTTAGGCGGGTTTTATTGGGCTGGTTTTTTAATGCTAACCCTGTAAAAATATGAAGTGGTTAGTTATGAAAAGTATAATTAACAAGAAAATAATTTCAAATTATTTGGTATTTATGTTAGTATTGTTAATAATGTTATTTTAAATTTAGAGATAAAATATATAAAATCATAATTTAAATTTTTTGCTATTGCTTATCATCTTTATTTTTTGTTCAACTTTTTTATTGATACACAAAATCTTCATTTTTATCAGTTATGTTTTGATTATGTTAAATATATTTTGTATGAAAATATTTATAACTGGTTATTTACCAACATATTAACTGAAGCTTTAATTTAACTTATGAAAGTATTGATAAGTCTGTTGATTTTAAATCAATTGAACTTTTTACAACCATGAACTTAATAAACTTGCTAACAAAAATGAACACTTATGAACATCTAAAGAACTTAATAAAAGTTATGAAATTTTCAAATTTTTTTTTTAGTTTATACATTAAATTTTGTATAATTTTTTTTTTTTCATAGATTTTTATACAGTGTTATTTAAATTTTTATTTATCAATTTAGTAACATTGAACTCAGTTTATTTAATATTATAAATAATATTAATGAAGTAGAATTTAAAAAGAATTTTAAAAGTATATTTAAATAATCCAAGTCTTTAAGACACCAAAGACTAAAAAAAAAGGAAGAAACATAAACTCGTTTTTTTTTCACTAAACTTTTTTTTCCAACTTTGTTTTTTGCAAAAAAAAGAAAAAAATGTTTTTTTCATTTATTGATGATATCTTGTATAAGATTCCATTAATTTAATATATAAACATTAATAAATACGAGTTCTCTCAATACTAATTTTTTATTAATTTAAAAAGTTATCAATAAATTTTTGATACTAGCATCTTCAGCTTTAAACTTGGCATCCAGAATTGTGTTTTATATTGCATGGACATTAGTTTTAATGATTTCCAATTGCAGATTAATCCCACTTTTCTTCTCATAGATTTTTCTTGGATGATTTGTTCTTGTCTCGATTTTAATTTTTGTTTGTTCAATTTATTTTTGTTTACACTCTCACATTCTCTTAGTTATACACCGGTATAGCTATTTGAGATAGTAGTAGAGCTGCGTGAGGTCAGTTTTTGTGATAATGTTTGGATCCATGGTAATGATATAGTTGGCATGGTTGTATTATTATTAGATGAGACTATTTCATTTATTGAGTGTCATTTTTTTATAATAATATTTGCAAGGTTTTGTAATTTTTTTTTTTGTATTCTTGAATTTACAATTTCTTGAATTAATAAAAAACTTGTATTATTTGATCTTGTTTTTATTGGTGTTCATATATATATATATATATATATATATATATATATATATATATATATATATATATATATATATATATATATATATATATATATATATATATATATATATAATTTTCAGAATCTACTAAGTGTATTATAAAAAATCTTTTTCCAGTTATGTGAGGTTAACATTATAAATTGCTTCTAAGTTTAGTTAATAGTTCAAGTTTAATTTACAATACTTTTGATTTAATATGACTTTCATTTAAGAATTCTGGCATCTCATGCTCCATGGACAGTTTAATTGACTTCAAAATTCATTGCCAGACAGGAGATTTTCCTAATAAAGTTGATCTATGTACACAAATTGTTCAACCTAATACAAATATTAGTAAAATAAATGAACTTACAGACAAAATTGAGCTTGATAAATCTAATGTTATTACTGTTAAAAATGTAAGAAATGAACATAAAGAAAAAAATCTTTCTCCTGTTTTACCAGACACAAAATCTGAAACATCTGAGCCTCCATTCTCTTGTAATACAGCAATCATTAACATCAAAAATAAAGAAATTAAGAGCGCTAATAGAAAAAAGAAATCACGTAAAAAGGTTAAACTTTGCATGCCATCTAAGCAGCCAAAAACTGATTCAAAATATACTTTCGTTTCCTATAGCAACTTAAGAGAAAATGATATGTCAGTAAACGCTACGTACTTGAGAAAGATTTCACATGCTACAAATGAAACAAAAGTATTACATTGTCTAACTGAAAGTCAGACTAAAGTTCAACATCCTAAAAAAATGAAGGAAAATATTTTCTCTAAGAGTTCAGCTGGTCGTATGGAAAAAATTTTAGAAATTAACTCTTGCGAAGAAATAAAAAAAAATGTGAAAGATTCTTCGCTTCTTAATAAAAATTCTTTTAATCCAGTTGCAGAAAGTCAGAATAAAGTCAAACAAACTAATAAAAGTAAGGATGCTTTTTTAATCAAAAATTCACCCTCAAACTTGGAAAAAGTATTAGAATTAAATTTTCTCAGTAATAATAGTGGTTGTTTACAAAATTTTATTGACATTATAGATGATTCTAGAAATTTAAGACGAAGGACCAATAGATCTTGTAATAAAGATCGAAATTCTCAAGTAATTATTTCTTCAAATCAAAATGATTCTTTGCAACTTCCGCAACCAGGTCGTCTTACCCTTAATAATACAAATCTTTTACAAAATAATATTCTTCAAAGAAATATTAATGATTCCGTAAAACTCAATTGTACTGTATGTAGCACAAGTTCTGAAAATTCTGTAGGTGCGAGTGCAACGCCTATCTCTAATGTTTTGTGTCAAAAATGTATATGTGCATTGAGGGATATTGATAGAAAATCAAATGTTAGATCTTCTAAACGTCTTGCTGAAAAAAGCCTACTTGTTCAAACTCTATTAGGCACTAAACGTCATAAATCTAAACAAGATCTTTCTTATAAAGAGTGTGATAAAATTCCAATACCAACTAAAGTTACAGCAAAAATATTGCCTTGTAGCACGACAAATAATAATACTAATGTTAATATTGTTGATAAAAAGACAAATTTAAACTCTATATCCAGTACTTATGCACTTCGAAGTAGAAGAAAAAACCTTTTGTCTTTTGAAAACAGCTTAACTGAAAAAACTGACCATGGCAAAAAAAAGAAACAAGCCAATAAAAAAATATATTTATTTAAAAAAAAAAAACCTAGGAAAAAGGTGAAATTTGTGGATAAACAAACAGATGAGGAGCTAGCAAATTTGGAACGCAAGAAAACAAAGTAAGTTTTTTTAGAATTATTCAGTAAAACAGTGAGGTGTATATGCTAAGTATTTCACAAATTTTTAGATTTTATTCAAAAACCTTGTTTCTTTTTTTAAAAATTTTTTTTAAAGAAAGACAGTAAGTATGTTAGATGATAGAAACTCAGTGAAAGAAATTTCAAGTAATAATGACACAGTTTCCACACTCTTAACACACTTAAATAACACAGGTTTGTTTTTTTATTTTTTTTTACTTTTTATTATTTTTTTTTATTTGCATTATTTATATTTTAAGAAAATTTTTTATTTTAATTAATTGTATAAAATGTTTCTGTATTTAATATTTGTATAGAAAATATATATTGATATTGATAATTTAAGATATATTTTGATATTGATAATTTAAGATATATTTTGATATTGATAATTTAAGATATATTTTGATATTGATAATTTAAGATATATTTTGATATTGATAATTTAAGATATATTTTGATATTGATAATTTAAGATATATTTTGATATTGATAATTTAAGATATATTTTGATATTGGTAATTTAAAGATTTGTATAGTTATGATCTACATATGTTTTTGTTATTATTATTGTAATTAATTTTTAAAGATCAATTGTCAAATGTTGATATTTGAAAACCATTAAAAGTTTTTTTAATGCGTATATATTTATAAGATGTTGTTGTTACTTATGTAACATAAACATATTATGTTTATGTAGTTATAAAGAAGCCAACTAAAGAAAGCATTTGTGTACCCAAAGAAGTTATAAGGAAGCCAGCTAGGGAAAATGTTTGTGTAACAAAAGAAGTTATAAGGAAGCCAGCTAAGGAAAATATTTATGTACCAAACAAAGTTACAACAAGTCCAACTAAGGAAAATATATGTGTACCACAAAAAAGGTATGTGTTAGTTTTAATTATATTTTTTAAATTTGCACTTTATTTGCTAATTTTAAATTTAGATGAAAAAATATTAAATAAGTTTTCTAGTGTAAAATTATTTATTTGCTCTACTATTTTATCTGGTAAAAGCATTTTGGACATTCCGAAGCCATTCTTTACAAAGCAGGCAGAAGTTAAAAAAGATAATGTGTTTATAATGAATCCTCCTCTTGACAACCTAAATAATAATGCTATTCCGAATCTTTCATCTACATTGTTATCTACTACAAACATGTCTCGTCTGTCTGGTGAAACTACTGCCAGTTATTTAGGTCGTAGGAAAAAGACGTTGCTAAAAAAATATGGAAACAGAATTATGACACCTGATAGACCTCCATTGGTAAATCTTATTACCTATTATTTTTTTTAAACATTTTTTTTCGTGTGGATTTTGACTTCAACTCATATTCATATCTCTATGTTCTCATTATGTTCTTTTTATGTTCATATTCATTATGTTCTTTTTATGTTCATATTCATTATGTTCTTTTTATGTTCATATTCATTATGTTCTTTTTATGTTCATATTCATTATGTTCTTTTTATGTTCTTTTAAATTGTACATTATAGTAAGAGCTTGCAATTTTATGTAAAAACAATTTATTACATTACTTGAAGCATTTCTTTAAATATTTTATAATTCTTTATGCAATTATATTTTTAATATTTTTATGCATAGATATTTTGTTCTTTGCACTTAATACTTTACACTGGCAGTTGACTATTTTCACTCTATTTTCAAATAAATCTGTTGCGTCTTTTTTCTCATTGCTGTGAAGCTGTAAATACTAAATGTTTTTTATTTCTTTAATATATTCTATATATTTCTTTAATATATGCTATATATTTAAATATATTCCCCTACTCGAAGTTTCAAAAATTTAGTAATTAATAAAATGCAATAGTTAAAAAAATTGTAATTTAATCAAAATGTTTATAATTTATTAAATAGTTGTATATTTAATTAAAATGTTTCTATAATTGTTTCAAATAGTTGTATATTTAATTAGTTGAAATTGTTGTTATGACAATAGTAAAGTGTTGGTTTTTTTTAATTTTATAAATTTGTTGTTTGTTGTTTTTTTGTTGTTGCAATAATAACTTGTTCAAACAAATTTTAAAAACCCAATGGTTAACAACTGCTATTGTTTTATATGTTTTTGCTTACATATAGTACTTATGTAATTTCTTACATAAGGTAGGTATGTAATTGATTACATATGGTTTATAAGTAAAATTTCCAAATTCGCATTGACTTTTAAGAATAAGGATTATACTAAGCCAGATTTGGTCTAAAGATGTATTAGGACATAGTAACAGAATTTATAATACCCAATAATAAATAATAAGTTCTGCAGTGAACAATTTTGCTTTTATAAAGTATCGTTCTGCAGGTCAGGCATCAAACCAGCATGTCGCATATCCGATTTGTATTATTTAATGAGATTTTTATTGATATAACTAAAGTCGCCATTTGATATATATACCATTAAGATATATAAGATAACTAGAATTCTATAGAGTAAAAGTTTCAACCAAGTGTTTAAAAGTTTCAACCAAGTATTTAAAAGTTTCAACCAAGTATTTAAAAGTTTCACCTAAGTATTTAAAAGTTTCAACCAAGTATTTAAAAGTTTCAACCAAGTATTTAAAAGTTTCAACCAAGTATTTAAAAGTTTCAACCAAGTATTTAAAAGTTTCAACCAAGTATTTAAAAGTTTCAACTAAGTATTTAAAAGTTTCAACTAAGTATTTAAAAGTTTCAACCAAGTATTTAAAAGTTTCAACCAAGTATTTAAAAGTTTCAAATTTAAATTTGAGTAAACTTATTTTGATTTAAAAGATATCAACGAACCAAATTTTTCTTAACGAATTTCAAACTTATTTTTAATATGTATATATATATATACATATATATATATATATGTATATATATATATATATATATATATATATATATATATATATATATATATATATATATATATATATATATATATATATATATATATATATATATATATATATATATATATGTGTGTAATGGTATACATATATACATATATATATATATATATATATATATACATATATATATATATACATATATATATTTATATATATATATATATATATATATATATATACATATATATATACATATATATATATATATATATATATATACATATATATATACATATATATATATATATATATATATATATATATATATATATATATATATATATATATATATATATATATATATATATGTATGTAATGGTGATGGTTTTCAAGTTGCTTTACTGAAGCAAATTTTAATAAAATTTAACAAACTGGTAAATTAACTTTTTAAAATTCAATGATGATTATAATAATAATCATGATTTATCTAATATTTATTACAACAGTTCCATTTCAATAATTTAGAATTTTTTTTTGTATGAGTATTATGTATAAACTTTTTTTTTGGATTTTGGATTTAAATTTTTTTTAGAACTCAACTCAAATAGAAAAATTAGGAACATCACGTATTTTTGAAAACAATGACATAGAGGTATCTGGAATATCAAATCAAACAAAAATAAGTCGTTCTCGCCTTCTTAGCTTGGCTGTAGAAAATGCCACTCTTGGTATACCCGAAACATTAACTCAATACTTAAATAAATTCAACTCTCAGACAACAAGTTTAACAAAAAAATAGAAGAATGCCTTGGACATTTTAACCTTATACATTGTTTTCTATAATTTTAATGCGTTTGCTGTTTTAAGATTGTTTATAATCTGTAAATTTAATTAAACACCCATGTGGTAATGACGTGGCATGATGAAATTATTTGGTTTTTTTAAACCGTTTTAGGTTCAGCTAAACTTTTTAGTTTAATGATTTGCGATGAAACTGCTCAAAATCTTTGAAAATAGCATTGAATTTTGTGTTTTTTGTGAAGTACGTTTATGCACGCACAAAGTTTTATTTTTAAAATATCTGCTTTTATTTTAAAGATCATGAAATATTTATTTAATATACATAAAGGTTTAAAGAAAAAAAAATGTTTTAATTTCTATTCATTCAAAGAATTTTGAAGTAAAATTGTTAGTCGACTTTAACATTAAATTTCATATTAAAATTTCATTAAGATTTCATATTAAAAATTTGCCTATTTTAATAATACTTTTTGTAAAACATAACGTGTTATGTTGACTCTTGGTATCTCGAACTCTCAGGGGACTCAAGTAAAAAGGGAAAAACTCATTTTGTTTTGTTACCAGGGTTACCAGTCAAACAGAAGTCAATAAAATCTAAAAAATAATGAAAAATACATAAACAGTGCCACAAGGATCAATCTTACGACCATTACATAAATCATTTATATTGTATATATAAATGATTTATACTTAGCATCAAAAATTTTATATTAATTGCAGATAACTCTAACCTTTTTTATTTCGACAAGACGAAAGTTGCATTTAATGGAGAATCATCCAAAATAAATTAGTGGTTTACAAGTAATAGAATCTCGTTAAATGTGGAAAAAAAATAATTTCTTCTGTTTTAAAAACCTAGTAAAGCGTCTGTCTATAATTAATTTCAGTGTGTTTTTCTGGTTTTTTCGATCCCTGCTCCCTTCTATTATTTTTGCCAGACCACTGCTCCCTTCTTTTAAAATAATGTCAGACTCTCCTTTAAAAATAATGACAAGGTGTCTATCTATTCCATTGAAGTGCATATATTAGCCAACACGGCTGTTTCAGAGTGAGCTTCTTGACTTCGGCTTCTTGTTTTTTTTTTTGAAAATTTTAACGTAAGGGGTGTTACTAAAATATTTATAACTTTTGAAATATTAAAGATAATTTTGTATGTAAAAGTAATAAAAATAACAATAAAATGTTTTATCATATGACATTTTATATAATAGTAAAAAAACTTCTTTTATTTTTTCAGGTTTTCCGTCAAAAATAAAAAAGTGATCCAAAATTATTTACAATATTTTAATGTTTATTTTTATTTCGTTTAACGTAAATATTTACTTAACGAAGGAAGATTGTTCTATTTATATTTTTTTTATTCAAAAATGAAAACATTTATAGAAAAAAAAATACTATTAATTTAAAGTAGGGATGTACCAAAGCTGCAATTTTGCCAAAGCCGAAGCTTCGGCCTAAGTTATACGTAATTTAAAGCTCAATTTACTTCACCACGGTGATTTGAATAATCAAGCTGCTTTTATATAACAATGTTTTAGGTTTGTATGTTTTGGCCTACAAGCCCATTATAGGAAAATTATAAAACAAAACTAATATAAAAAATTTAAACAAATTTTGTGCAAAAATTTAGAGAGTGAAATTTAGAGTCTTAACTCTATATATCTAGCAGGTATAGAAAAGATTACATCACTAAATCTTAGACATTTACTGATACTTAAGGTAATCTATGGTCTATTCTTTGAGAAAATTTATAAAAATGTAAACACGTAAAATGTAAAAATATAAAAGTAGTCATTATTTTAATTTGAACATAAAATTTGGTATTTGTTTTAAATTTTGTTAAAAAGTTTAATCAGTTGAACTAAGAAGCTACAGTCTATTATTTAGTTAATATTAATTTATTCAATGAAAGCAGGCATATTATAATTTAAAAATGCAATCTGTTCTTCATGTTTGGGTAATATTCTGTTTCTTTTTGCTTCAAATATGTTTCCAGATGTGCTAAATAAGCGTTCACTTTTTACAGATGAAGGATGCGAGCACAAAACTTTCTTTGAAAACTTTGACAAATTCAACTTGTAAGTATCTTTATCAGAGCAAGTGTAACGGTATGGACCCCACCACTTATAAGGGCATTCATTCTTTGGCAGTATTGGAAGGTTTAAGAAGAAATTGACTTCATCGGTGCTAATACACATATAAATATATAAATATATATATATATATATATTATATATATATATATATATATATATATATATATATATATATATATATTTATTTATATTAAATGAATAAAAACAACTTTTGATGGAACTCTGAGTTTCATGCCTTTCGGCAATCATCAGCCATTGTGTATTTCGTCACTTAAAAACCGTATAAAAATTACAAATTAAAATTACGGTGGAACGAGTTCTGACGTTACCAAACAAAACAAAACAAAACAAAAAGACGTCAAAGGTTTTAGTCCCCAGTATCAAATAAGGATAGTAAAAATTTTTTTGAATGCCGGCACTTTGATAATATTTCATATCTTTTATTAAGTAAGTTTTCTCTTTTATATGATAATATGTGAAACTTCTCGCGGAGACAAAGATTACAAACTTTTGATGCTTGATTGTAGGGCTTACATTGTGCTATTATCTTCCATGTAATCACAGGATTTATATGTTTCGATTTTAGCTCCCATATTTCTTTAGAAAGTTCAGTGTCATTTTTATATTTGGGTGCATTGAAAGATTTAAGATGGTTGGCATATCTTAATTTAAATGTGGTTTCACTTATACCGATAATATTTACTCATGTCTTTTGTAGTACTTTCGAAGTGTTTTAATATGCATACAAGCATTTTAGCAAGTTGCCATTGATTTTCCGTAGGATTTTTTGCATTTATTTGATTTCTGGTAATGCAATACAATGTAATAGCTTTTTTCTGCTCAATGAACCTCTCAAGCATATAGTATGTCGAATTCCATCTTGTGGAAACATCTTGAATTATGTTATGCTCTGGCAATTTTATTTTTGACCTAGAATTTCCTTTAGTTTAGCCACAGCACTAGATGAGTGGTGGAAATGTCCTGCTAATGCTCAAAAAACAGCTATTGCATCACTTGCTGTTCTTTGTTCTCTAAAGATCTTTTTCTGAATACAAAGTTGTAAAGTATGTATCAGACATGGAAGATGTTTATCGCCCAAATTTGACTCTTGTTCAAAGAAAAATATGATCCAGCTCATATTTTACTTTGGCTTTTATGGTTTGATACATCAGTGAAATGACTTTTGTGGAGAAATACTTTCGACTAGGTATTGTATACTTTGGAACTAAATTCTTTAAAAGTCGGGTAAAATCTTTATCTTCAACATTGCAGTATGGCTGCAAGTCTAAACATATCATTTCTCCAATAAGCTTGGTAATAGCTTGAGCCTTAGGATTGTCAAGTTGCCACAATTCTTTTCTTTGCAAAATCTCCCGCAGTGAGACCTGAAACAAATTCAACGAATTAAAAAAATTACTTAGCAACTTGTAACTAACAATGGCCAGCGACGCACAGTGACTCAAAACAACAAAAAATGGCAACAAACCCCTCACCACTTTTTTATAAATTAATTGCCCTTTGTTAGATAATATTAAAAGACAATGATTTTTTATTTCAAAAGTAAAAATAATTTTTCATAAAGCTTTTATTTTGTATTTTATAGGTAAAAGAAGTAAAAAAATTTGATATTATTTTTAAAGAAATCTGAAAAATGTGAGGTTTTTATTCAACTAAATTAGAGAACTTGAAATTTAAATAAAAGTGTATATTTGTTTTTAAAATAATATTTTGACTAGGGTTGTTCGCCGAAAAACAAAACTTGCGAAAATTTCGCATCTTTATCTACCGTAATAGAATTGTTATTACGGAAGTTGCACATGCGAAAATGCGCATTCCGTAACGCGCTATACGAAAATATAAATAAATAAAATTCCGTAATAAAGCATTGCGAAAGAAAACTTGCGAAACAAATCATTTCGTAAGAATACTTACGAAATAGTTCCTTACGGAAAAAGCATTCCGGAATGTGTAGTTACGAAAAAGACGCAAAAGATTTTATGTTACGATATATTTAAGATATTAACTGTTAACAGTTTAAATAATAAATAATAAAATTATAAAAAAATGTTGTCAAATGATTCTTCAAATGTTTATACAAATATACCTAATATATATATATATATATATATATATATATATATATATATATATATATATATATATATATATATATATATATATATATATATATATATATATATATATATATATATATATTATATATATATATATATATATATATATATATATATATATAAATATATACTTATATATACAGTAAAATCCCGTTAAGTTGGACTCTCAATGAATAGATAAACAGTATGCATTTCTTTTTAAAAAGTATAAAGAGGATGTGTGATAAACAATTAAATACTTTACTATAAAGAACGAGAGATCTCTCTAAAGGTAAATAATATCAGAAAGAGTAAAAAGAGAAGAAATATATGTGAAACAGCGGGATGTGAACCTGGGTCTACGCGGCCAAATGTCTTAACTGAATGAGCTATACGTTCATTCAACTAAGAGAATAGTAATATTTATTTAATATATAATTTGAAACTATATAAAACAGAATTTACAGAAAGAGATACGTATGCAAATAGGATTCTATATATCAGGAAAATGAATAGTAATGTGAACCTTTTGATGCTTATAATTAATATCTGGACTCAAAAACTAGTTACTTTTAATGGAACACAATAGGCTGTAGGAGCCTCAGGGAAATTATATTCAAAAATGGTTATATTAGACTCAGAGTTAGCTAGAAATTATTACAAAGTATTTAGGACAGATGTCTAGTACAAAAAGCAAAAGATTTAAAGCAAAATGAATTATATTATTTGAAAAAATTGTTTTACGTACATTTCATCATAATTTAAGTAGAACTTAGTAAAGCAAGGGAAACGTGTTGAAGTAAGCACAATGAACTCAATCTTAAAAGAATAACTAACAGAAGAGAGGTTGTCACTATTGTGAAGGCGACGAAAGATCTGTAATATAGAACATGGAGGTCAAAAAATGCTATCTTAAG